AAACAAACATGTAAAGAATGGAGTTAATAAAAATAAAAATAAAATAAAATATACAGTTGAATAGAAATGAAATTTTTATTTAAGAAAAATGAAAAATAGAGAAAAATATTTCATCAATCTAACACAAAATTGGGACTCATCTTTATATTTCCTCTTTTTTTCTTTCTTACAAAATAGAGGATAAAGTAAAAAAATATTAATAATTTTCAAGTATTAAAAATAAAGCAGCATAATCATTTTTACATATTGAAAAGTTTTTAAATTAGTCCTTAATGTTAATCAAATATATCAACTTAAAAACTAAATTGAAAAATACTCGTTATTTTAGAGAATGTTTACCTATAGTTTTATTATCTTATATATATGTATGTGTTTCTAGTGCTTTAATGTGTTTTCTTTGCAACAATAATTACCTGTGGTGTGGCGTGGAAAGGGTGCAAAAGCTAGTGGACTAACAGAGAAGGATTTATACTTGTTGAGGACTTTTCTTTGTACAAGAAATTAGGAGTTGCAGAATTCACTTTTCTGTAACTTTCTCAGCAAGATGGCAACTTTTGGCTACCTTTGGTGGTTGGTGGCACTGATAGTTCAAAAGGAACACACGTTCAAAACGCTTACTCGTAAGATAGTTGAAGTAATTGTGGAAATCCTTTTACAGAGTTGGAAAGTATTCCATGAATCTATGTCATTACTGTTTTGGATTTGACCCAAATGAAAATATTTTCACTCAAATAGGGAACAGAACAAGGTTTTAAATTTGAGAAAATATGAGATAGAGATCACGGTTGTCGAATGGCCTCTGCTGAAAAAGTCACACAGTTCACTACTCCAGCAATCAATCATGATGATAACTCAAACCTCCAATGCATACAAAAAGTGCATCGATGAAGGGAGAAAAACTTTTTCACCCAGACAATTTACGCTATTTGCTCTCAAATCATTCAACAAGTTAACCGCAAAAAAGGACTTTGGTTTTTGGCACTATAGTTAATTTTACATCTGTAACTTTATTCTTTTCATTCTGCTCTTGGAGATCCCACCACCACACCCCAAACCAACCTTCATTTTTTTATCTTTTATTTCACCTAGGGATTCGGCATTGAACATAGTACTGCCTCATGGGGCCATTATTTTCCCTTCAATGTGCTAATCATTTGCATTTTTTTCTAAGTTATNTGTATTGGATTAGAAATTCTAATCAAAATTGGATTAATACAAAAAATGAATCGTAATTAAAATAATATTTATATAAGTGTTTTGCTATAATCTAACTCGAATAGACCTCAAAAATAGGTCAATTGACTCATAAACCCAGCTTACTTATAATGGCTTGCAATCACTTTTTAGCTAAGCTGTCTATCGTGTAAATGTCTTCGACGAGCAAGGTACATACCGACAACAAGCAACACTCGATTCCAGTAAAAAAACATGCTTATAAGATGATAAGAGGTAAACTTTAGTTTGAAAAATATAACACCCAATATTCGACTATTGGTGTGGCTTATGCAACATTAAACTTATTCCTTATGATATACACTCTTGGTATCCAATAAATAGCTCATTATTTATAAATTTATAAAGTATTTAGTAATTATCATATGAATTTTATCGACTACCAAACATTTGGTATCAGATATCTTATAAACAGTTTCAAGTCGAGTTAACTAATATTTAAAAAATGTAGTTGATAGAATCAACAAGTTTTCTACTCATATACAGCACACTTTTAATTATTATAAATATATTAAAATTTAATCTTCGTCCTTCAAAATAATGCTTCTAATCTTGGGAGAACTTAACATTTGAAAATAACAAGTACTATTTTGACATATTTAATCATTTTAGTTCAATGATTATTGAGATGACATGTGACATAGCATATTCGTAGAAAGTCACAACAACTAGAAATTAATGATAAAATCATTTTTAATTTTAAATATTGTATAAGAAATTACAAACAAATAAATTAACGAAGTACGATTGTTCTCATAATTTAACCATAGACGAACAGTTCAATCAGTTCAATAACCCTGATTTTATCTATAAATTATAAATTATAAATTCTAGCGGCTGATTAAATGGAAAATAATTGAAATGGTATCATTTACTTTCGTAATTATATTAAGGAGCAACTTTAAAAAAATGTTGTGTTTCGAAAAATATTTTTAATACAAAAACGTTGTATTTCAAAACATAATTTTTTTTTATTAACAAATAACCAAACTCATTGTTTTTTAAACACAACTTCACACTTACTATTTTTTATTTGTCAATAATGAAGTCGTACTTTCCTATACGAATTGTATTCAATTTTTTTCACAACTTTTTTAAATATTAAATATAATATTTTAAAAAAATTACATGCGCCTAATTTGAATTCATGATTACTCTAAACTGTAATTTATTTTTGCATTAAACATATATATTAGTATATAAAAACATAAGAAGTTATCTATTTATTCATAAATTAAATATACGTAAAGAATCTAAATATTATATGGTAGTCTAGATGCTTCATTACTTATATTCATAATTTACATCATGACAATCTATGCTTTTATATTTGGAATATTTGTCGGACTTATTTGAAATTGATGATCAATTTCATATATGCCATAGTAGCTGTACTTTTTTTTTATTGTTGTCACTAAATAATCAAGTCAAAATGTATAAGAAGATCAATATGTCTGATTTGTAACACTATGAAATCAAAATTAATAGCCGTTGTAATTTATGGACAAATCAATAAATGAGCTTAATTATAAATGGAAAAAGAAAAAAACTACAATAACACAAGAAGAAGAAAAAAAGAAATAATATCCAAAATCCTCCACAATCCTATTTGATCACATCATCATTCATTGAATTTAATAGTTAGAGTCATTGTTCCTCAATCTATTTGGAGATCTTTTAGTACTTTGGACCTCAAAATTCACATGTTTCCAAATTGTACTTTTGTTTTTCTTCAAGCAAGATTTCTATATAATAGTTATGATTTGAAACAAAACACACTTATTTTTATATCTTTTTAAATGTATATTTAACACATTCCCTCTAATTTACCCAAAAATAATAACAACTTGAAAAATTCCATCACCATAATGATGATGACTTTGTTTTTAAAACTAGGCCTATATCTAGTAGCTAGATAAATTATTAGATTAATAGTTTAATACAATAAAGGTAGCTTAAGATCCTTCATTGAATAGCAAATGAAGGACATGAAGCTAAAAGTCAATGTAAAAATATGATAGTAATGTGAAAGGTTAAATTCAATGTGTTGTCATGTACTCTAAATTACTATGCTAATATATTTAATCATTAATGATTTTGTTTGGTAAATTAAATCAATTAAATGTTAAGTTTTATTATCTCACATGCTAATTTTAACTTATTTAATGAATGCTTCACCTCTTTCCTTTGGTTTTCCATTTTTAAAAGAAAACAAATTGTATCTATTCATTTGTCTGTTTGAAACTTTAATATAGTATTAATTAGTATCTTCACCATGGACGTTTTTGTGTTTTTTAAAAAATAATTACAAGTATTATATTTACAAATAAATATTAGTTGGGTTAAATAAGATCATTGGAGTATATTTGTGAAGTATTTAACAAATTTGCATATCGCATGTACTATAAATTAAAAAAGTTATTGATACGAAATTAAAAATAAATTTAGTCTTAATGAAATTATTAATTAAGTTTGTGTTATATTTATAAGTCACCTTAAATAAAAGGAAATGGAGGTTGTACTACGAAATTATATAAAATAATTAATAAATGCTATGTTTCCTCCTTACTTTTTTATTCTCTCTAAATAGTATTTAGTGGCCCATTTGATAAAAATAAACAAACATGTAAATAATGGAGTTAATAAAAATAAAAATAAAATAAAATAAAATATACAGTTGAATAGAAATGAAATTTTTATTTAAGAAAAATGAAAAATAGAGAAAAATATTTCATCAATCTAACACAAAATTGGGACTCATCTTTATATTTCCTCTTTTTTTCTTTCTTACAAAATAGAGGATAAAGTAAAAAAATATTAATAATTTTCAAGTATTAAAAATAAAGCAGCATAATCATTTTTACATATTGAAAAGTTTTTAAATTAGTCCTTAATGTTAATCAAATATATCAACTTAAAAACTAAATTGAAAAATACTCGTTATTTTAGAGAATGTTTACCTATAGTTTTATTATCTTATATATATGTATGTGTTTCTAGTGCTTTAATGTGTTTTCTTTGCAACAATAATTACCTGTGGTGTGGCGTGGAAAGGGTGCAAAAGCTAGTGGACTAACAGAGAAGGATTTATACTTGTTGAGGACTTTTCTTTGTACAAGAAATTAGGAGTTGCAGAATTCACTTTTCTGTAACTTTCTCAGCAAGATGGCAACTTTTGGCTACCTTTGGTGGTTGGTGGCACTGATAGTTCAAAAGGAACACACGTTCAAAACGCTTACTCGTAAGATAGTTGAAGTAATTGTGGAAATCCTTTTACAGAGTTGGAAAGTATTCCATGAATCTATGTCATTACTGTTTTGGATTTGACCCAAATGAAAATATTTTCACTCAAATAGGGAACAGAACAAGGTTTTAAATTTGAGAAAATATGAGATAGAGATCACGGTTGTCGAATGGCCTCTGCTGAAAAAGTCACACAGTTCACTACTCCAGCAATCAATCATGATGATAACTCAAACCTCCAATGCATACAAAAAGTGCATCGATGAAGGGAGAAAAACTTTTTCACCCAGACAATTTACGCTATTTGCTCTCAAATCATTCAACAAGTTAACCGCAAAAAAGGACTTTGGTTTTTGGCACTATAGTTAATTTTACATCTGTAACTTTATTCTTTTCATTCTGCTCTTGGAGATCCCACCACCACACCCCAAACCAACCTTCATTTTTTTATCTTTTATTTCACCTAGGGATTCGGCATTGAACATAGTACTGCCTCATGGGGCCATTATTTTCCCTTCAATGTGCTAATCATTTGCATTTTTTTCTAAGTTATCATATAATTATACACAGAATGGGAACTAAGAATCCGTGATAGAATACATACACGTACTCTCAGACACATGCATCATGGATTCAGTATTCCCATCTTGATGATGATAATGGTCATAAAAGATGGACCCTTTATTTATTGTTCTGCGTGCAACACAATGCACAGAGAAAGGTAAGCCCTTTTCAAGCTGTGCTCCGCAGCCTTCCCCTGCAATGCAACTCTACTTAGTACTTACTTGGTACAGACTACGGTGTAGGTGGGTCTCCTTCGACAGTTACAACCTTTTGCTACAAATTCGGAACAGAAAATAATGCAAACTCTCGTTACTATCTCCCTTTAATCCATTTTTACACAAAAAATAACCTTCAATTCAAGTGCATGTTAGTTCTGATGATAAACATAGAATCAGTTTAAAGTGATGGAGTTTAAGCCTCTGATGACATTTACAGGGAATTGATGAGTAATTTAGAACAGATTTATTGAATTATGACAGCCAAATAAAAGAAAGAAAAATGGAGTATTGATTATATGTGACAATTGCCAAAAATCTTTGGCTCTCATTTTCATTCAATTTTATTTTGAGATGCTCCCAATTTCAGCTTGACAATTAGGCTTTGGCTTATAGTTGAGGTAGACAAGACCCACCAATTTCAAAGCAAAGTGGGCAAAATTGACCAAGCACTAGAATATGTCTCAAGAACAATATACCACAGAGCCTCCTCCACCCCTACCTCAGAGAAAAAGAGAAGAAAGAGAAAGAGAGAGATCAAAAGTAAGTTCGTGAGCTACAAAGACATACACAAGAAGGAATAAACCAAAAAACTTCCTCCAAGGAGTCCACATCAGGGCACCATCAGTAGATTAAAAAAGGGTGAAGTGAATAGAAGTTGCAATAATTAGGTACATCTTGAAAGAGAAAAATAGCAAGAGATAATGATCCACCATGAAGTAAGGTTAAAAACCAAGTGGAGCAAGCCAAATTTGGTGCTCATCGTCTCATCTTAATTCAACACTGCCTCTTGCTGAATCCTATCCAGCGTCTGGTACACAGCTTCAGCAATATCATCAACGGATCCCAACTTGCAATCATCTTCTACCTGCAAAAAAACAAAACAAAAAACTCAGCACATTTTCACTTTCCAGAAGAAAACAATTAACTAAAAATATCTCAAGTTTAAGGCACCAATAAAGACAAACCTTAACACTTAGAGAGTAGAGTACAATTTCACCGGTGGTGGTAACATTTAGGTGCAAGATTGTGAGGCGCATAGTATGCAAACCAGAGACCAGCTTCAAGAGTTGCTTCGGGCGCTTCTTGGATCTTATTTTGAGATTTGCATGGCTTTCCACCATTGTCACTTCTATGTCAGCAATGCCAGACTTAACTTCACCCACGTCTTCACCTACGGTTGCAGAATTATCAGAGCCACCACCACCACCACCACTTGTTGAATACTGCGGAAAGGCGAAGAACTCAGAAAAGGGCATGTTCGTTGCACCACCAGCATCAGATTTCCCCTCTCCTTCTTTCTGAGCACCAAGAAAATGCAGCCTCTGTTCAAGCTCCTTCACAAAGTTAATAGCACCTCCAATTATAGAAGCTTGATCACCCTTCAATGGCCAACCAGACCAAACAAACAAAACAAACAAACAAAACAAACAAAATTTTTATTTTCGAAGGAACCAAGTAAAGAAACAAATAGGTAAGAACAAAAAAAAGGAAGAGGAGAGAAGTACCCTTTGGATATAAGAGTCCGGCATGAGAGAGCGAAGAACAGAAAGATACTCATTCATCTGCTTTCTTCTATTGCGCTCGACAGCAATGTGAGTCATTCTTTGGTTCTCAATTTCTTCCTTGTTCTTTCTGCTTTTGGCTCTGCGCCTCTTGGGACGAGTGGTTAAGGTATCCAAGCTGTGAGTGGCGTTACTGGGGTCTGTGGGTTCTTGAAGATCATTCAAGTGGGGTAAGATAGAGGATGAGGAGCTGGTCCAATCTCCTCCATAAGGGTAATTGTCTGGTTGGTTGTTACTATTATCGAGAAAAGTAGAGATGGAACCTTGTTCTTCTTCTTTGTGGATGTTGATGTTGATGTGTTCATAGTCCCCCCAGTTAGGTGAAGTAGCAGCCAAGAAAGTGCAGTTGTAGAAGTCCTTCACTGATCCGTAACCACCAAATGGGTCTTGTGATTGTGGAAACACCACTGCTTCCAGTGCCATGGCTCTCTCTCTCTCTCTCTCTCCCTCTGGCAAACACATAACAAACAACCTCAATACCTTCAAGAGGAAGACGATGAAAGGAAAACACCACTAGCTAGTCTTGTGTTGGGTCCTCTTTGCAACCAGTTTTTGCCTTATAAAGCCCCCCAAAAATGCTCACTGCTTTGCACGTGAAATACAATTAATTCAATGTTAAATACAGTAACTTTTATTCACACACTACAAAATATCAAAATAACTTGTCACAATATTCAATCATCTTTTTTCTTTTTTCATCTCATACATCAAACAAATAAGACAGTTTTTTTAAAATGAGTTTATTGATCTGTATAATATACTTTTATACTTGTATTCAATTCAGTGAACATTAAGTATATCATAATCTTATCCTAAGAGATTCCTAGACGATTAACATAGTTTAGATAATTCAATAATTACATTTTGATATAAAGTTGTATAACATTTGAGTTATCTTAGAGAAACCTTAAGTTATAATATCTATTAAAATAAATTCTTTTATGGACGTAGATTTGAGCCAAGTTTAACCTATGCGTGTGTTTGTTTTTCTTTTCTTATGTTTACCTTATATCAATTTTTGCACTTGCAGTTCGGTTATACTCTATTTTTGGTGTTATTTGTTTGGTGGATGTTTCTGACTAAATTTTTAAACTATTCCACAATAAACCGGAAATTATACACTTTGTGTTAAGTTGGATTAATGTAAGATGAAATATTTATGTTATGTTTGTAAATGAAAAAAAAAATCACAAATTTTCTGCATGGAAAGTTCAGTATTGTTATTATAAAATTTAACGTTGAATGATGATATTAAATTGTTTAACAAATATTTCTTTTAAATGGTGTTTTTTCTTATAAATATAATGTATATATAATTAATACATACAGAATCATCGCAAAAGAAATTATTGTTTGTGTTAGATATTTTAAGGTTAAAAACGAAAAACTAATTTCTTAAAATGTGAAGATTCGTTATGGTAGTTTTGATCATTTCTTCTGTATGACGACCTCCGTCTATCATTCAATAACAACACACAAAAAACTCCAAACAAAATTGAATTTGCTTTAGTCACTTTATTTGGAATTCATGTTATTGAGCACGAGTGTTACATATGGAAGCTTTCCGAATAAAAAAAATGTTGAAACTTTTCGGATTACAGTGACACAGAGACATAAATTATGCTTATTGTGACTTTTAATTAATGAACAAGTAAGAAATAAATTGCCTAATAATTTTTAAAAACTAACGATTGACCTTTTTCACTGAATAAATGACAATGAGTCTTCATGTTCTTTATAAAATTATGAGAGAGGGAAATCGTGAAGATTTATAACGATTTCTAATTTGAACCAAAGTTGTTATAACTCATAACGATTTCAGTTGTCCGAAAAAAAATTCATTACAACTAAAATCGTCACGAGTCATGAAAACTTTCGTTCACTATAAATTGAAAATTATACTTTCTTTTACTTTTAATTAGTAAATTAGTAAGAAATAACAAATCGACATGTGTTAAGAAATAAAAGAGATAAGTTTAAAAAATGGGATAGTTTTCCTCTTAATTTTAAAAAATAATAATTAAAATAGATTTAAGATAAATCATCGTGAATCTTAACGATTTTTTTCATAAAGTTTTGAAAATGTAAAATCGTCATAATTCATAAAGACTTCAAATTTAAACTAAAGTTGTCATGATTTATGTTGATTTTAATTGTTCGAAAGAAAATTCATTACAATTTAAATTGTAATGAGTCATGACTATTTTGATTCAATGTAAATCAAAAATCGTCATCATTCTTAACTATTTTAATTCAAATTAAAAGTCGTCATGATTTAAATTATTGTCATGAATTATAACATTTTATCTTTTCAAAATTTTATACAAAAAGTCTTCAAGACTCTCATTACTTAAATACATAAAAAAAATGTTAAATACTCTATTTATGTAAATTACCAAGTAAACTATTTTATTTTTTAAAATTTACCGATAAAATAAAACACAGTTTTCTTTTGACGACTAAATATTGTTACTTCCATATTATTTCAAAGATGATTAAATTATAAAAGTGTTAAAAAGAGAATGCAAAAATTGAATTGTCTGAATAATTAAAATAAATTAGTTAATTAGGTAAAAAGAGATGATAAACGAAGGAATTGTGGTGGCAATGGTAGGTGTATATGAAGTGAAGTTGTAATAAAGAAGATGGTTAACGTCAAAGAAAATAAAATAAAAGAACACAGCAACCAATTCTACAACAATTGCGGTCATGTCTGTATTTGTATGAAAATGATATGTCGAAGAACATAATGAGTTAAATTCCCCTATACACGGAAAAATGTTGGGATTAATCATTGGCCTCATATTCTGCTTGTAGCCACTTCCGTTTCAGTAAACCCTTCTTCTTTTTTTCTTAAATAATTATTTCCAATTTTTTTAATTAAAATCTTTTTTTTTCACATAATATATTATATTGGTTTAATGTCCCTATTTTCGTCCAGAATCTCAAATAGGTCCATTCTTTTTTGGCTTGGGTCCTTATTCTTGTAAAATTGGATCAAATAAAGGTTTTTCGTCAAATTGATCAAACACCGTTAAGTTGGGTGTTACGTGGCACGCTGACACTGTAATTTTTTATTACGTGACATTAAAAACGTGACTGAATTGTAAGGGAATTTGGCATGCTGACGTGGCATGCTGACACCCTGGTGGTCGGCCACTCAGTCAGGTGGTCGACCACTCGGTCCGGTGGTTGACCAATCAATGTGGTGGTCGGAAACTCGGTCTTATTCACAAACCGTTCGACTTGTGAAGGAAGTGTTCATAATCGTTCGGCTTGTTAAGGAATGGCTCATGACCATTCAGTTTGTGAAGAAATGCTCATGACCGTTCGGTTTTTAGTCCTTATTTTCTATTTTTATGATTGGTATACAAGTGGAGCCCACAAAGTGTAGCAAAGGGAGAAATTTATGAGGGGTTTTGTCCATAGGTACGTGAATTGCTTCATAATGTCTAAAACTTTGTATTAGAAGGAAAACATAACTTAGTGGAGTGTATGTGTTTGGTAGGGAATGAAAGTCTTCGGCCAAGATTTATTGGTAGAGGTCGAAGGGTGCTTACAGTTAATGATCGAACGGTATAGATAGAGCAAACCGAACGGTCATGAGCATGCATTCACAAACCGAATTCACAAGCCGAACGGTCATGAACACTTCCTTCACAAGTCGAACAGTTAGTAACCGAACAGTTAGTAACCGAACGGTTTGTGGATCTGGCCGACTACTAGACTGAGAGGCTGACCACCAAACCCAGTGGTCAACCACTAGGTCGACCACAAGGGTATCAGCATGCCACGTCGCCAACTTCCCTTACACATGTATACTGTCAGCATTCCACGTAACACCTTCCTTAATGGCGTTTGATCAATTTGACGAAAAGCCTTTATTTGATTCAATTTTACAAAAGTAGCGAAAGAAAAGGACGTGTGACATTAAACCTATTATATTCTCATCTCATTTTACTAATTACATATGTTGATTTAATTTTGTATTAAAATTTTATTCCAAATAAGTATACAAATTTCTGTGTTGTGATTGTCTAGTGCCCACGACATATATAACACGAAAAAAATGAATTAGTGATGAAAAATTAAATTTTTAATATGTATAGATTAGTTTATTAGAAACAATATTTTTTTCATCCATAAATTTGTCATTTTTTTTAACACTTAGTGTTACTCATAAGTGGGTCCCCATATGCTTTGCTTAATATAAACATTCAATGTATCTAAAAACGCTTCAATTTGTATAGTAAACTGTGAATAGATTCTTATATCCATTTAAAAATGGTTACTAAATTCATACAAGGTTTGCATAATCTATAAAAAATTTCAATAAGAAATACTATTGATTAAGAAATTAAAAATCTAATTATATTACAGAGTCCTAAGAAATGGACACTGACTCTTCAAGCCATGCCTCGAAAAGGACTAGGGAGATATATCTAAATTGCTTAATTTTAAAATTATTTTTGGGGCTGTGATATGAATATATAAGTATTAGAGAATCTCCAATATATATATGCTGTAATAATATTTATTATTCATGATTATTTTTTAACAATGATTTTCCTTAAGCAGCTAAACTTCACCAGAAAACACCATTAAAGAAATTAATTGTATATTAATTAATAAAGGCAACGTTCCGAAATTGATTAAAATATAGCTCCAATGTATTAACTTTTTGTTAATTTTTTATTTCAAATACAATATATTGTAAAAAAAAATATTTTTTATGTGTCTACTAACATAAAAAATTCTCTTTTGCTCAAACTTGTCGATTACATTTACTTTGGATACATTTCAAGCACTTTTTGAGAAAACAAAAGGTTGTTTTAATAATAATCGTATTTAAGATGTCAATAGAAACCAGATAAAAGGTTTTTCATTCTTTTTAAGGTTTTTTTTTCAATAACTAATTTTAACCATTTTTTCCCTCTCAAAAGTTATCCTTCAACTTTTACTTTCCAACTTCATGCATATAACTTTTTATGACTTTACGTATAAAAAATTATCTTTTATTACTCAAAGGAAATTATCTTAAATTCTTTTTTCAGTAATAAATTTAATAAAAAAAACACATTATTCATATGAATTTTGCTAACATTACCAAACACATCCTCACTAGAACAAAAATAGAATGAAGTAACATGTGAATGAAGAATATGTTAAGCTGTTCCATTATCACTGTCCTTTGTTTCACGCTGACAGGGAAAAAAGTGACATTTATATTTTCTCACAAGAAACATTGAAAAATGTTCAGCTTCCAATCCTTGGATGCATCAGACCATGATGTACATCAATGAACACAAGCACATGGACTTTCTCCACTGTGATTTGTGAGAGGAAACAACAATCTTCAATACATAAAGAGAAATTGGCTGTGTCATTGATTTGGGAATAACGCGGTCAGAAGTAAGATCAACGAAGAAGAAAAGAAACAGAAGATTTAAAGGAAAAAAAGATACGTATGGTTCATTTTACTGATAGATTTAATCAAAACATAGACTCTAAGCCTTAAGAATTTTACTCAGAAAGAGATATATA